CCCCTGCCCCGTCCCGCTGCCCCCCCTGCCCCGTCCCACTGCCCCTCTGCTGGGTCCCCGCTCAGCCTGTGTAGGCAGCATAGAGGCTTCAGCAGGGACACTGCTGAGCTTGTAGGGCATGTCTCCAGTACCTAGATCTCTGCCCACCGCTCATGTTGCCCTTACACTATGCTCTCTGTAGCAGAGGAAGACACACTTCCTGTTTGGTGCAGTCAGCCTGTACTTGCTCGTCTAACTGACCACCCAAGGCGGTACTTTTAAATATTGACTGACCTAATCAGCCCTTGGTGGCCAGTCCCTGGGAGGGCGGTGCTCCTGTGTGCCAGAGCAGGCCTTTGTGGAACAGGGCCTTCTCTGCATGGTGAGCTGCAGTTGCCAGTGCCAAGTAGTATGAGACGCAGTCACTGTCAAAGCATGCAGTTCAGGTTCTTCCTAAGGGGTGTCCTAACCTGAAACACCAGCCCTGGCGCAAGGCACAGCCTCTCCCACTGCTCCTCCAGGTCCCTTGCTGGACCAAAACCCAGGAAGGCAGATCTGCCCATCTCTCCCACTGCTCCTCCAGGTCCCTTGCTGGACCAAACCCAGGAAGGCAGATCTGCCCATCTCTCCCCCTGCTCCTCCAGGTCCCTTGCTGGACCAAACCCAGGAAGGCAGATCTGCCCATCTCTCCCACTGCTCCTCCAGGCCCCTTGCTGGACCAAAACCCAGGAAGGCAGATCTGCCCATCTCTCCCACTGCTCCTCCAGGTCCCTTGCTGGACCAAACCCGGGAAGGCAGATCTGCCCATCTCTCCCACTGCTCCTCCAGTCCCTTGCTGGACCAAACCCGGGAAGGCAGATCTGCCCATCTCTCCCACTGCTCCTCCAGGTCCCTTGCTGGACCAAACCCGGGAAGGCAGATCTGCCCATCTCTCTCGTTCCCCAGCCCCTGGTGGTAGGGTAGGCATGTAAAAGCACACCTCACTTTTGAGCATGATAAAACTTCATCTGTGTTAAATGATTGATGTGTGTGTGTGTGTGTGTGTGCGCATGCTTTTGCACACTCAGGGCCCTATGCTGACATTCTTCCAACTTGAACCACATTTCTACTTCCAGTATTTTGCTGGGTAATTAGAAATAGTGTCTCATGGACTTTTCTTGTGGATTTGCTTTGAATCATGATCCTCAGATCTCAAAACTCCTGAATAGCTATAATTATATGAACCCAGCAGATGATTGACGTTTTATGTGCGAAAGTTGTATTGATACTTTTATGCTAAAGATACATTAATGTATTTATGTGTTTGTTTTATTTGCACTGAAATCTCTGTCTCTCTGTCCCCCCTCTTTCTCTCTCTCTCTCTATATATATATATATAAATACATATGTATATTTCATATGCTCACTAGTCTCTGGAGCTTACAAGAAAGATACTTCGAGACAAACAGAACAAAAAAAACTCAGGCCAGCACCTCCCTGTCTTCCCAGTATGGGTGTACGAGAGACCTACACTAGTTGGAGACTTCCTGGTTGGCTCAGGTTTAAGCTCAGACATGGTTTTGCCTATAGGTACGTGATGCATTTCTTTCTCGCGTATGTCACGTTTGCTGATATGATGGCGCCTTGACCGTGAGGGCTGGGGGCAGGCAGCAGCCTCACCTGCCACTCAGGAGCACCCCAGTGGCCTGCTTCCTCGGGTGCCACCTCTGCAAGTTTCCAGAGCCTCTCAGACATAACATTCAACACATAGCCTGCGGGGGACAGTTATATTTGAGTTATAACATTCTAATATTATGGTATTATTTTGGCTCCATTTGAGAGAGCTCAGACCGCAGTCCTCGGTGTCTCGTTGGGGGACTACACCGTGGTGTGAGGCTGACAGGAAGCAGATTGCAGAGAAGGGTCTGGGACTAGGTATGATTTTCAAAGGTACTCCTCCCCCATTGAGCCTTTCTCTAACTGTGCCTCACTTCCTAAAGTTTCCAGAACCTTCCAATATAGTGCCCCCACTGGTTTGTCAAGCATTCAACACCTAGCCTGTGAGAGACACTTCATTTTTAAACCACAGAAGGCTGCAGCTTCCTTCCATCCATACCTGTAGGAGGGCTGTCAGACCAGGGTGGTTAGAGGTGTGAGGAGCCTGCCAGTCCAGTGGTGCCTGTGCCCTACAGGCGCACTGCCCTTGGCCTCCCAGGAGTCAGCCGTGGTAGAGGACCTGCTCTATGTGCTTATGGGTGTGGACGGCAGGTACGTCACTGCCCAGCCGCTGGCAGGGAGGCAGAGCCGCACCTTCCTAGTGGACCCCAACCTGGACCTGTCCATCCGGGAGCTGGTGCACAGAATCCTTCCTGCGGCTGCCAGCTACTCAACTGTGACCAGGTGGGCCCCACTCAACCTACCGTATGTGTCCAGCTGTGGCGCTGTGACTCAGTCTCCTAACACAGAGTTGCCAACCATGTCTTGAGCCCCTTGGGTTGTAAGCAGTGGAGCGAGTCGTTTGCTTCCTGGGAAGAATGGGATTTGGAGTGGCTGAACTTCTGCACCCGGAGCGCTGGCTGTTTCTAGTGTGTCGTTCTTGCAGGTTCATTGAGGAGAAGTCTTCCTTTGAGTATGGGCAGGTGAACCATGCTCTAGCAGCCGCCATGAGAACCCTCGTGAAGGAGTACCTGATCCTGGTCACACAGCTGGAGCAGCTGCACAGGCAGGGGCTCCTGTCGCTGCAGAAGCTCTGGTTCTATATCCAGCCAGCCATGCGCACTGTGGACATCCTGGCCTCTCTGGGTATGCATCAGCTTGGTAGGCGGGTGTAGTTGGAAAAGCTCTTGGCCCAAGTGCATAGGGGCCACCCAGACTGGACACTGATATCTTACTCTAATGCCAGGATCATAAGACAGAGCTACTTTTTTAGTGATCTGCAGGGGAAAGGGTCTTTTTTTCTTTTTTGTTGTTTGTTTTTTGAGAGGCAAGATCTTGATATGTAACCTCAAACTCAAAATCCTCTTGCTTCAACCTCCTGGGTGCCAGGAGGACCAGTGTGGTCACCATGCCAGCCTGGAGGCTTATCTTAGTAAGGCTTAATTACCAGCAACTGTTGTATAACTGAGCACACCACAGAGGAAGCTTCTGTCCTGTGAGGAGGTCAGGTGAGCCAAGAGGCACTACTGGAGGAGCATGTGGGTGTCCTGACAGTAAGCTTCCCTTTCTCCCTGCAGCCTCCTCCGTGGATAAAGGTGAGTGCGTTGGCGGGTCAACACTGAGCCTTCTCCACGACAGGAGCTTCAACTATACTGGGGACAGCCAGGCACAGGAGCTCTGCTTGTACCTGACCAAAGCAGCCAGCGTGCCCTACTTTGAGGTCCTGGAGAAGTGGATATACAGGGGTATCATCCATGACCCGTACAGGTAGGCCCCTGTGGGTGCTTGCCACCTATTCTTTCTGGAGGATTCTGGCCGCTGACATGGAACACAAGCAGATGTCACACATAGCCTTCAGCTGTGAGCCAGAGAAGGGAGAATCAGTCGATTGGCTGCCTTTCAGAGACTTTGTATTTTTGGAGCAGGGCATAAGGACTCGTTGGAGAGGATACCCTCAGCCCCCTCAGTGTGGGACACCCTTCCTGATAGGTGGGCGCCCCTCGACAGAATGTGCCTTGGCACTTAAAACTAAAGGACTCGAGCCGGGCGCTGGTGGCTCACGCCTGTAATCCTAGCTACTCAGGAGGCTGAGATCTGAGGATTGCGGTTCAAAGCCAGCCCGGGCAGGAGAGACCGTGAGACTCCTATCTCCAATAACCACCAGAAAACCGGAAGTGGCGCTGTAGCTCAAGTGGTAGAGCGCTCGCCTTGAGCTGAAGAGCTGAGGGACAGCGCCCAGGCCCAGAGTTCAAGCCCCACGACCGACAAAAAAAAAAAAAAAAACTAAAGGACTCGCTTACAAGGACTACTCCACTGAGACATGCCTGTTGAAATCACTTTGGAAGTGTGGTATGCAGTGTGACCTCTCAACCACTGCCACAGGCCGCACCTGTGGTTCTTTACTGAGGGCCAAAGAGTGACAGAATCTAGTATGGTGAGCCTAGCAAGGAACTTGTTAACTGGTTGCACAGAACAATTCTTTTTCTTTTCAGTGCTGGGGTTTGAGCTTGGGCCTGTGCTTGTTGGACACTGCTTAGTCACTTGAGCCATACTCTTTTTGCTTTTATTAGGTAGGGTCCCGTGGGTTTTGTATCGGGCCGTAATGCTCTTACCTGTGCCTAGCCAGGAGAACAGGTTTGTGCCTAGCTTGTGCTAACTTTTTGCCTGCGCTGGCCCTGAACTGTGATCTTACCAATTCTCCCCCTTACCTTCTAAGTAAGATGATGTGTGCCACCAGGCCTAGCTTTTTTTTTTTTTTTTTTAATTCTTTCATTTTATGCCTGGCTGGCTTCAAAACTGCAATCCTGGGCTGGGGAGGTGGCTCAGTGGTAGAATGCCTGCCTAGCATGCATGAAGCCCTGGGTTCAATTCCTCAGCACCACATAAACAGAAGAAGCTGGAAGTGGGGCTGTGGCTCAAGTGGTAGAGCACTAGCCTTGAACACAGAGAGGCTCGGGGACAGTGCCCAGGCCCCAACTTCAAGCCCCAGGACTGGCAAAAAAACAAAAACAAAAAAACACTGCAATCCTGGGCTGGGAATATGGCTTAGTGGTAGAGTGCTTGCCTAGCATGCATGAAGTCCTGGGTTCCGTTCCTCAATTCCACATACATAGAAAAAGCCAGAAGTGGTGCTGTGGTTCAAGTGGTAGAGTGCTAACATTGAGCAAAAAAGCAGCCCAGGGACAGTGCCCAGGCCCTGAGTTCAAGCCCCAGGACTGGCAAAAAACAAAACAACGAATCCTTGCAATCCTCTTGATTAACTTTTTTTTTTTTGGGTCCGGCCGTGGGCCTGAACTCTGGGCCTGGGTGCTGTCCCTCAGCTCTTCAGCTCAAGGCTAGCGCTCTACCACTTGAGCCACAACGCCACTTCTGGCTTTTTTTTTTCTGCTTATGTGGTGCTGAGGAATTGAACCCAGGGCCTCATGCATACAAGGCAAGCACTCTACCACTGAGCCACCTTCCCAGCCCTTGATTAACTTTTTAAATTTTTTTTAATGCTGGTCTTGAGGCTTGAGCTCAGGGCCTGGGGGCTGCTGTCCCTGAGCTTCTTTGCTCAAGGCTAGTGCTCTACTCTTTGAGCTGTAGATCCTCAGCTTTTTGATGCTTAATTGGAGATTAGAGCTTCAAGGCTAGTGTTCTACTCTTTGAGCTGTAGATCCTCAGCTTTTTGATGCTTAATTGGAGATTAGAGCTTCATGGACTTTCCTTTCTGGCTTTGAACCATGATCCTCAGATCTCAGCCTCCTCAGTAGCTAGGATTACAGGTGTGAGCCATCAGCACCCAGCTCTGATTGCCTTTTAAGTAGAGATTACAAGCAGGAGCCACTGCACCTGACCAATTTAAACTCCATAGAACGGTGTCTGGTCCTGTTGGTGACAGCCTATGTAGCAAGGGCCGTGCCATCAGCACATTAGACACTCACTCCAAAGTGAAGTTAGATTTATTATTATTATTATTGCTGGTCGTGGAGCTTGAACTCTGGGCCTGGGCACTGTTCTGAGCTCTTCAGCTCAAGGCTAGCACTTTACCACTTGAGCCATAGCACCCACTTCCAGCTTTTTCTGTGTATGTGGTACTGAGGAATCGAACCCAGGACCTCATGCATGCATGGCAAGCGCTCTACCACTGAGCCACCTTCCCAGCCCCTTATTTTTTATTTTTTTTATCTTTTTGGTCAGTTGTAGGGTTTGAACTCTGGGGCTGGGTACTGTCTCTCAGCTCTTCAGCTCAAGGCTAGTGCTCTACCACTTGAGCCACAGCACCACTTCTGTTTTTCTGGTGGTTTATTGGAGATAAGAGTCTCACGGAGGGCTGGGAAGGTGGCTCAGCAGTAGAGTGCT